TTCGATAGTTTCAGTTTTCCCCGCTCCTTCCATGTTATTATTATTATTATTATTATTATTATTATTATTATTATTATTATTATTATTATGTGTTCATTTTCGCAACAGGCTCATTTTTTACGGTCAGGGGTTGTTAGCGCCACGCCCAACACCCAAACTGTAGCACCATCCCTTATCGGCTGTCCACGACTGCTTATTCAGTAAATCCGCAGCTTCCCTCCATCCGCAACCTGAGGACGAGCCATGCCGTGGTGACAGGGACCCACATAACAGGGTGTTGGCCGCGCCATAGCTCAAGCGGTTAGTCACTGGCTTCCTATTGCGGCGGCCCGGGTTCGATCCCGGGGTCTGGTCAAGTGGGATATGTGGTGGTTTTCCCTGCCAATCTTCATTCCACCAATTGCTCCACAATCACCCTCACCTATCATCTGGGGCTGGTACAATAGGCCAGCAGTGGCCGCAGTACAAGGGACTTAGTCACACCCCACTAGCAGTACAAGAGACTTAGTCCCACCCCACTAGCATTAAAAAATCAAGAGTGTTGAGAATATTTGGACCGAAGAGAGATGAGGTGACAGGAGGTTGGAGAAAGCTGCATAATGAGGAGCTTTATAACTTGTACTCTTCTCCAAATATAATTAGAATGATCAAGCCAAGGAGGATGAGGCGCCCAGGGCATGTAGCACGAATGGGGGGAGACGAGGAATATATATAGGATATTGGTGGGAAAGCCAGAATGAAAGAGACCACTGGGAAGACCAAGGCGTAGGTGGGTGGACAATATTAGAATGGATCTTAGAGAGATATGATGGGATGTTATGGATTGGATTGATCTGGCTCAGGATAGGGACCAGTGGAGGGCTCTTGTGAACACGGTAATGAATCTTCGGGTTCCATAAAATGCTGGGAAATTCTTTAGTTGCTGCAGATTTGGCTTCTGAAGAAGGGCTCAGCTCCATAAGTAAGTAAGTATAAATGCAAGTTATGGTTCTCAGAAGTCCGCAAATTGCCTTTCTGAATGAAACTACAGAAACCTGCTAACACCATAAGGAAATGCTATTTTGGGATTTTAACTGTTGTAAGTTCTTTTTAAGTGTTTCATTCATGGAACTAACTATTCTACATCAATATATGCTGCCAGCCATAACAATATAATTGTAAGTTTGGGGCTCCTCTACATAAAAAAATGCCAAAACCTGCTAACACCAATTTTGGGATTTTAACTGTTGTATTTTTTTACCCTTTTCTTTCATGGAACTGAGTAGTCTACATCGATATCTGCTGTAAGCCATAACAATATAAATGGACGTTCAAGCTTACCTTCAATGCAAGTTCCTCTGAAGCAGCGTGGTAATGATTCATGAGAGCACACTTCACATCCCAAGTCCTACCAAACAGACAGGCCAACAGAACGTTTATAATGTTCACATTACAGAAGAACCTACGGGCCTACGTCAGTTCCGTGTCAAATAACTGGTACCTTGCTCTGATATCACCACTGTCCAAAACTTTAACCACAAAAATTCTTCATACAAGTTTGTTAAAGAACAAGGTGTCCTAAGAACTAGTTATTTTAACATAGTGTGACGTGGATGGCACAACAGAAAGAAGGGGTCACGTGAACTCTGTGGTCTCGCGAGTGACGTCACATACCCCCACTCCTTCCATCAGTACGCAACGCTCGGTGGCGCCCCCTCCCCCGCGGTGACGTGGCAGAAGAGCGAATGTGTTGTTACCAAGGGATACCGCAGTTGCTACGCAGCATTAAACAGCTCTCGACGGCGTTAGGCAACAGCGGTACCTATCATGTAACTGTTTTCTGTGTTGTCCGTGCCGAGGCTAAACAAGGAGCAACGAACACTATTCGGTAGTAGTGAGTGTTTAGTGAACCAGTTACTAGAGAGAGAATAGCCAGTTAGTTGAAATATAGCAGCCGCCGAAGACAGTTGCAAGTCTAGCATTCGCCGGAGTGAATGGGAACAGTGGAAGTAATTGTGATACTGCCGATGGCAGTAATTGTGAGATTGTAAATTGTGTGATTGTAAGAGCGAGTGGAATAAATTCGCCATATCCAAGACGGCGTAAAGTTACTTATCGCGTGACAATATTTACCTGAAATGTTCGAAGTTGAAAGGTAATTCATAAGTTCATATCATAGATTCTCAGAACCTTGTGTATTTAAAACGATATTACAAACTTCCTCACTCCTAACATTAACACCTGAAACACAGGTCAGACTGGAATTCGGAACAACCATGACAGGGCTACCAACAGAGATTCTCTTTAAAGCAGAGTGCTTTCACAAATGCAGCTCAAATCATTCCAGTCATAAATCTGTAGGAACAAAGTGTTTTACACAGTGGGCATGGCATTATTAGAGGGGGGGGGGAAATCATGTCAACATAATGAATTTAAAGTATGACTGCACAGTAGTACATAATTCATACTGTGCACTACTTGGTTATAAGCTTATGTATGAGGGGCAGTCAAATGAAGACGGGTCAGAAGCCAAAACATATTAAAGAACATTTATTACCTAAAATGTAATTTCCAAAACTGTTAATACAGTTATCCCTCTGGGAGATAAGACGGTCAATGTCAACCTAGAAAAAGCTTGTGGCCTGTCTACAGAACCATATCTTTACCCAGCAACACACGTCTTCGTCCGATGCAAACCGATGTCCACGAATGTCTCTCTTCAGGTATCCAGAAATGTGGAAATCACATGGGGAGAGATCTGGGCTATAGGGGGTATGTTGAAGCACTTCCCAACCAAATCTCTGTAGCGTATTCCTCACAAAGTTGGCAGTGTGGGGGCGCGCATTATCATGAAGAAGGATAAAGCCGTTCGATAGCATTCCAGGGTGTTTTGACTTTATGGCAAGTATCAGTTTCTGCAAAGTGTCTTCATAGCGCTGTGCACTGATTGTGGCCCCATGCTCGAGAAATTCGACAAGCAGAGGGCCCTTGCAGTCGAAGAAGAACGTCATCATCACTTTACCGGAACTTGTGTGTAAGGCTTTGGATTTCTTCGGTTTCCGCTGTTGGCTCTGCCGTTTTCTCTCGGGTTCAAAATGGTGGCACCAAGTTTCGTCCCCAGTGGCAATACGGGACAGAAAAACATACTCTTCTTCATGGTATCGTTGAAAGTGACCCAGTGATGCAGCCATTCTCTGAGTCTTCTGTTCCTCCGTGAGTTGATGTGGAACCCACTGCGCGCAGATTTTGCGGTACAGCAGGTGTTTTGTCACAATGGCGTGTATGGAACATTGACTTATTCCCATAAAGAGACTAATTTCTTCCACAGTGATCCGTCGGTTTGCCCGGATATGACCATCCAACGCAGCAATAACATCAGGAGTGATGACTCGATGGGCCTGTCCTGGGCGAGCATCATCTTGCAGTGACACACGTCCCTCTCGGAATATTTTATGCCATGCCAGGATACATGAATGTGCACGCTGTGTTCGCCGTAAACAGACATGCGACGATGAATTTCTCGTCCACCTACTTCTTCAGTAGTCAAAAAGCGCACTACACTACGCTGTTCTTCTTCATCCGCCTCCATTACTGATGTTGAACGACCACACGTAGCGCTAACCTTACTTCCAGCACAATAAACAAACGACTGGTGTGCAAGGGCACGTTGTCACTGCTTTCCTAAGTCCCCACCAGATGTTCGTACCGAAAGCAAATTCCAGTTTTACCAACTTGCTCGCCGTGAGTTACGCGTGGTGACCCGTTTTCATTTGACTGCCCATTATATTTTAATAGGTGGGTACCAATTTTTTCAACGGAATATAGTGTCTCTACATTATACTCTGAAAATAGAGGTAATGTGATCCTCTGTAACACTGGTGCACAGCTACTGGTCTACTGTGTCATACCCCAAAAATCATATGACTCTCATTGTTGTGAGAATCTCATTTCTTATGCTAGTCTGTAAATATTACAATATAGTAACAAGGTTAATTTAATAGACATTTGGTTTCATATAAAAAACTAATATACTTTTAATTACAGCCATTAACAAACACTGCAACACAATGCTCTTTCTGGAATCCTCCTGCCTGTGTAAGTCATGTTTTGTGGATGTTGCTTCTGCCATGAAGTTTATATTTTTTGGCGACTACTGTCTTCTGGAATGTGGCAGATATTTAGAGGACCAGATTTAAGGAACAGTGACCACATTGGTAGCCTCAGGGCCTTCAAAAACATGAATAGAGCGCACAGATTTTACTGAGACATTTGCTTCTCTAGAGCACAGAAGTTAATTTGTATTTCTACTTATAAAAAATAAGTACATAAAGAAGAACTGTCATAAAATAAATTTGTTGTTATTGATATGGGCCTCAACACTTCAGTTGTCCCGGGGCCCCCACGACTGTAAATCTGATGCTGGAAGCTACCAGTGTTTAGGAGAAACCTGCTCCCTCCATCTTAACCGTAAAAGAGCAAGCCATGCATGGAAAGATGGGATGGATACAGATTGAAGAGGGCTGGGTGTAGTAAAAGTGGGGAGATTGGGCATTTAAAGAGCCTCCCTTTCTCTATATCCTTACCATTTTTTCTATATTTGGCTTATTGTTCCACTCTGTCGATGAAGCCAGCAGCTTCCTCTGAAACACTACTATACATCTACCAGGTTACAAGGCATCACACTCAAGGAGACTTTCATAGTCATGGCTGGCTCACTTCATACCAATTTCATGAAGATGCACTATGTTATGTAGTTCAAACAACATAAACGCACAAGGACTTTATATTCTCCACCAGTTTTCACAAACGTGGGTCACATCTTCTGACACCCTTTTGTTAAGAACTGATGGAGAAAATATGTTACATCACTGTGCATTTATACCGTTTTCTCACCCTGTTTACAACTATCCTTTTAATATACTTGCAAATAATTCTCCTTAGGTATGCTTTTATTCATGGTAGTCTGGGAATCAAAGGAATTCAGAGAAGGAAATGGTAAGAAATAAATGACTGCTACAGTCTTTAACAGGAACATACGTTTATTTTTCACTGAGCGGGAAATACAAGCAATAGTACAAGATCATTACTACTGCAGGCTGTTCGTGCTGAGAGAGGAACATTTAAAAACGCAGTAACATCGAGCCACATACATGTCCAACACACCTGTTCAGCCACACAATTATGGCCATAGTATACAGTAAGCTGATTGGTGTTACCTTTCCTCCCTGACATTATATCAGTCTGTATTTCTCCAATCAAAATTTCTCTATCACTCTTCATATGAATGCACTACATTACACTGGTAATAGAGTGAACTAAGGGCAAACTAATTTTCATCTAATAATTCTGGTTTTCATTCACACAGGAATTTCTAACAGCCATCATATACCATCAAATGTTTGATTGAGCAAAATGTAGGTACCATATTCTGTACTAAACGCCTTTATTGGAGGAAATAACATACCACTGAGCACTCTAATGGAACTTGCCAGACTGACTGCTTATGATAATTCCAATTCATGTCAGTTTGTCACTGTGCAGGATGGTGTAAGTACTTGTTTCGAATCTCAGTTACTCCAGGCAAATAATGGAATAGCACCTTAATTAGGCCATGGTAGTTTACTTTCCAACCTTCATAATTCATTATTCACCTTACCATTCAACGCTATATTGTCTAGATACTGATAGCGCTGTAAAATAAATTGAAAAATAAATATTCATTGTCACTGCCTGTAGAAAGTGCAGCAAAAGTTGAGCATCAGAAAATAATTACTGAAGAAGACTGTCTTCTGAGGTGTCATGTCTAGTATTCTGGTATGAGTTTATGGACATTCCAGAGAAAGTGCTGCTCATCTGTATTATCTGCCACAATGGGGGTTTTTGAAACAATTCTTAGGCCTGGTGAACTGAGCCATTTTGAAGCTTCTTATTACTGTCATTTTCATCTTCCCCCAATCTACGCCAATCTTGTTCCATGTATTCTCCGATCTCATTTCCCCACTCTGTTACCAGGCTCTTTCAGAGATATATCTACTCTCATATTCACTCTGGCCTTGAACTAAGACCTCCGGGGCCACTGTTTCCTTACTCTCTTCATGCATCTATCAAGAACTGTTTCACTCAGAGCCATCAGCACTCTTTCACAGGCCTCCAATTCCTTCTTCAGACAGAGTACTGCCACACATGGATCTCTCTTCTATCCTGAAGATGGAGGCAGCATATTCCTCTGAAATGTTTGTAAACATCTATCAGAATACCTGGTGTCACCTTCTTCAAAAGACAGTGTTCTTCATACTCACTGTTGTGAGAACCTGAAATTTCACAGTCAACTACTGATTTCATCATTCCTTCCTGAGGAAAGTGTTCCAACATGCACAGGGATGGTGTTTACTGTTGTTCTAAAATATAACAAGGAGAATAGGGCCTACTGATTCATAAGTCAAATTAATAAAACCATCTGACAGAACTTTGGTCTATACAATTTAACCAATTTAATAACATTCTTACTTTTAATACATTATATACGTAATTAAACAACCTCTGAAGTTGGTGTAATTCTGATAAAACATGTAGTGTGTAGTGAAATGCTACTGAATATATTAAAAATATATTTGTATCTAATAGTTTTATTTAAATTAACCTGTGAATGCAGGAAACAAGAGTAGTGATGATGTTTTTAAAACTGAGGCCCCATTCATACCTTTAGTGAATAAACAGATTCTGTAACATTCATTCAAGACATTTTATCCAGACCACAGAACCATTTCCAGCACTCAGTTTCAAGCCCAGAAGAGAACCCAATTCAGATAATGTGTAAGTTTCCAGAAAGGCATCCAGCAGACCTATGTAATTTGTTAAATTTATACTGTAGTGTACTAATTCAGAGTTTGCAGGACTGCAGATGGCACCAAGCAGTCTGCATTTGCTAATGACATTGATCACTCGATGTTCAGTGTGTACTGTATGGTCCATTACGTATTTGAATTGCGAGTCTATTCTTCAGAACAGAATCTCTGTATATTTAGAACTGCCTGCAGTAACAAGGTCTATTTTTTTCTTCACACAAACTAGTATACAGTAAAAACAAATTTTAATAAGAACACGAAGGTATGGAATTTTTTAATATTCTGGAGTTTCATAACCCACTCCAAAAAATTTGGAAACAAAAAAATGATCTGTATACGTCAACAGCTAGGAAAAAGCAATGACAAAAGAAATCCAGCGATTCAGAAATTCAGTAAGACAAATAATCTTTAAACATTGAATAGGAGCATATCAAGAAATGAGAATGCCCCTTATTTGCAATCCCACTCCAAATTCTCTCACTGTCTTATTTTTTTTTTTTACAAAAAAAGCACGCATTCCTTTATCTGACATGTTGTTTCTCTTTTCAACTTTAATCGTTATGCCTTAATTGTATTACAGCATAACAATCGGAAGAACTGTTTTGAGAGCTTGCCCACAATGCTGACATGACTGCTTATCATAACAATAATACATTACAAAAAAACAAAGTCAATCCAGTGGGTTTTTTACCCTTCTCGGTAGCTCGCTTTACTTTTTTAAACATTCAAAGCATCTATTTTTGTTGTCAATTTACAAACTGTAAATATAATTTTCGGTACGACAGGATGCACAAAATATACAATAATCGTATAATTTTTCATTTTCTTTTGTAGCTCCATGAAGCCTCACTGTACAAACACTAAAAAATCTATTTGTTTGGTAATAAATTCTTTCTCTCCTTGTTTTCATCCAAGCAGAGTTTAGATACGAAAGTAAGGGCGTACAAGAGGAATGTATGTAGAATAAGGACACAAACAAGAGTAATGCTAAGATCTCAAAATTAACCACAGAAATTCTTATTATGTACATAAGATGTACAGTTATTACCATAGTTAAGTGATCGTTGCATGCGTTTGAGGAAAAAATATTTAGTCAAGGACACTTTTTAAATATATACATGATAAATTAATTATTTCGCTGTGTTATAAAAATTAACAGAAGGAAAGAAAAGTTGCTTTCTTGCATTTTATAATTTCTTTCCCATATCGTCCATCTTTTTCTTCGCTTAAACAATTCAAAGCGAAGTTTTATGCTGAAGGAATGAAAAGAAATAGAGTACCTCATAGTTCAAGTCCCCTTTAATTAAAATGACATTGAGGGAATACAAAAAAATTATGGCCTTTGAGTCATTCTTGCAGTTACAAACAATCTACAGTTAAAAAATTCGAAATCTGTTACTTACAAAACTGTGAGAATGAGCTGGATCACATTGAATTTATATATTTAATGATGTGATAAGATCTAAAGTAATTAAACACATTTATGTCACTTAACATTTTGTTAAGAATTACATCATTTTAACAAAAGGAACTTGGAGTCAATCAGTACACACACAACATTCACTCGGGTCCACTGGCGCATTAACTTCAAGTCTTGTCTCTCTTAGGTGAGAATCACTGTACATAGCCAGTCTTTTTGAAAAATACTGCCTTCACTTTGCATTTGGATTAACATTTTGCAATTTTTCTTAATATATTTTTTTTTTGCATTTTATGTATATATACATATGTAGAGGAAAGAGCAAATGGAAGCGGGAGAAAAGATCTTTTTTTTTTCATTGCACATAGGAAAAAAAGTCAAATGTGTCCTACATGACTCAGTTCAGCGCACACAGGAGACTCGGAATATTAATTATACCGATTTTCACTTGTTCAGACATGGGGAAGGTACTCATCACAAGGGGAAAACATCACTGATAAGAGGACGTAACCCGCTTACAACAAGAAGTATCTTCATGTTGTTTACAATATACATTTTTGTTGTTGTTGTTGTTTGATGTTTCCTTAAAAACACTGAAAAGAAGAGAAAAGGTAAGTCTTTCACCACCACCGCCATATTTCTGCGTTAACTCCCTCCATTTATTCACAATGCTGTTTGTTGTCTCCTCTCCAGACAACCAAGTTTCAAAACACATTACTAAATCATTCATGTCCAAACACGCTGCCCCCCACAAGATATTCTCATCTTTCTAAAACGCACTCTCGATTAATTACATTTGTTTTTACTAAAGTGGTAACATGACATCAAAGTCCTTGTTTTAAAGACATTAGCCTGATGTACATAAAAGCAATGTAAGTAGGTAACGTAGTAAATGGGAGAGCGAAAAGTGGAAAATACTACTAAAACGAACTGGCCCCATTTGATATTGGCTGTGTATCAGTCAAACTTGTTCTAATCTTTTTTAACTGGTATGTCTCAAATATATTTTCTTCTTGGCAGTGATGATAAGTGTTATCTTTTTGGCATTTTGGGATGTGAAAAGGGTATTCATTAATTGTGTCTCTTCATGTGGAGTGCCAGATGATCCGATCGAGAAAAACATCGGTCGCAATGGCGGCATTTGAAGGGCTTAGCGCCAGTATGTTTCCTGTAGTGACGGGTTAACTCGTCCGACCTTGCGAACCTCCACTCGCAGCCTTCCCATGAGCACTTGTATGGCTTCTCACCTGCGAACACAATAACAACATTTTTAGTCGTGTTTACATGTTCCTCCGGTATACTTGCACGTTAAACATATCAATGTTCGTGACATAATGTGCCTGGAACATTATCAGCAGACAGTGACGCACATTACGTCATCAACTAAATTCTATTTACAAGGGAAAAACAAAATCCCCACAGTGGAAATCTCCTTCAACAGATCACCTTTATACCCTCTAAGATGTTTTAGACAAACTTTAATGTCATACATCTGATACCTTAACATTTCTTAAACTGCAGGGCCTAACGATTCTGACTTGGAAGATACCTGGTTCGAATCCCAACCGCGACATCGAACACCTAACATTTTCCGAGGTTCTCTCCAATCCTATTAGGAACATACTGAGATAGTACATAAATTAACCTGAAGTTCTGGCGTACCTGCACCTCTAAAATCAGATCTGGAAGATGACTGGTTCGAACCTTGGTTCGGTAACCGTTGTCTTGGTTGAGGTGGTGAAGGACCTTATTATTCAAACAACTCATGTACTCGTAATGTCAGTAATAATTATACAGAGTGCGTGAAATCGGGTACCTTAGTCCAATCTCGGGACTAACCGATTGCGTGCTAAACACTAAATTACTCACACGGTAAATATTAGTCGAATATCGGATTTGATGCATCTGGCAGCGTTCTGTGACTGGCAACAGGCTGGAGGGTGCAGATGATGACGTCACAATTTTCGCACAGCCGTACACGTCGGATAATGAAAACTGAACAGCGGGTTATGTAACAAGTCACAGATCTGATTCAACATGGCGAAACAAACCGAACAGTGAAAGTGTGTGCAGAATATTTATGACTAACGTCAGGTTCAGACACACAATGCCTCTCTAAACATGAATAGAGTAAAACCTCACTGGTTCGACGAAGGTCGATCTAGAGATAACGCCCTAGAATTGTACTCAGGAGGTGTTAGGTTCGAATCTTGGCAGGAACACACGCCATCTTGATTCATGTTTCCGTGGTCTTCTACGTCCCTCCAGGAAAATATCAGGAAGACATCCTGAGTAAGCCACATACGTTTCCTTTCAGATCCTTTCAAATTCACTGTTCACCTATCATTCGACCATAGATAGTCCAGATACTTAAGGATAAACGGTAAAGTTATCCCTATGCTTAATTAATTAAGCATCACGACAGGAAGAGTGGAGGTACAGCTCCACTCTTCTTTATCTCGGTACTAGATGAAGGTGAGTGGTCAGTCTCATGCCCAGGCCGCTTTATCCCCGGAACCCAATGAATATGAGACTGGGTGGGCCCCGAGCGACTGTCTGGACGTTGTGGAGAAGAGAAAAATCTTGTTCCCTGCCGGGAATCGAAGTCCGGCCGCCCAGCCCGTATCCCGGCTACCGATAGTCATAAAATATCCCTAGTTCATTAGATCGAGCACAGTAAAACCGGAAACCATGTAAGGCATTCAAATTTACATTAGAGACTAGAAATGGTGTGACAAGAGTTATTGTCCTGAGTCCTTATGTTAGAATTAAAGGCTACTTGGGAAGTAAAGGCTTGGATAAGGGTTGCTGCGATCACGGAACAGTCTGGGACGGCAAAACTGTGCATGTAGCATGAAGTCATCCCCTACAGCGCATTTCGGAACACTTTAAAGAGAATGCGTTACCAACCTGCACTATACCCATCGTCTCGGCCTGTTATTAAAGTTGTTCATATTAGTCACTTAACACAATTTCTTTATATTGCTTTCAGATTGTTACTATCCCGAAATGTTAATAGACCACAATAGACCACTGAAGGTCGCAGTGCTAGGGCCAGTTTTATGGCTCACTCCTCATACTCATCCCGAAATATTTCGACATCTACAATGTCATCTTCAGGGCTAGATACTTATACAACACAGGATCTGTCTGAATTTTATATGTGATTATACAAGATTTTAGGACCCTATAATGCTTAAAAAGCCGGTCACGGTAGCCGAGCGGTCTAAGGCATGCACTTTCTTCGCTCGCTCGGAAGCCGGGATCGTGGGTTCGAATCCTACTCAGGGCATGGATGTCTGTGTGCGTTTTTCTGTGTCTGTGTACAGGTAGAGGCCTTGCGACGAGCTGATCACTCGCCCAAGGAGTCCTACCGAAAGTGTAAGATCTAGTAAACCGAAGTGAAACGGAGAGTTTCATGGAGGTAGGCCTAGGCCCAAATTGGGGCTGCAGCGCCACAGAAAAAAATAACGCTTAAAAACGTTTCTGTTACTTTCTTATATTTGTGTCTCCATCTTCAGGAGACAGAGAACTCGCGTGAGAGGTCAGAGGTCCGAAACGCTTTAAGAATAAACCCAGACGATATACACCATCCGAGATATTAACTGAACAGTTCTTAATAACTCCAAGATTCAATATATTGTGACATGACGCCTGGAAGCTGGAATAGCGGAGCCAGAGTAGACGTCCACTGCTAAGCAACGGTTTCGCATAGTGGGGGGAGTCCAGTTGGGTCCACTCGGCACTGATTGGCCTATTGTATCTGCCCCGGGTGATTATGATGATGGAGAATTTGGTGGAATGAAGATTGGCAGGGGAAACCGAAGTACTCGAAGAAAACCTACCCCACGCCACTTTGTCCGCCACAAATCCCACTTGACCGGA